TATGAGTCTCATTCTCAATTTACATATAATTATCTCAGATGTTTGAATGTTTATTTTATTATTGATGTATCTCTAAAGTTCCTTTTTTATCTTTAAGTAAATTACTTCTAACGCTGGTATTATGATAGTCAGCTAAATCCAGTTAGATGATCTTCTTTATTAAAACATTTTTATTTGTATACCAACTATATTCACGCCCATATTTTTTATAAGAAAAGATTTTTAAAGAACATTAATATGTGAAAATTTTGTTAAAAAGCATCATAAATGATTCATCACTAATAAAACTGATAAAGAAACTTATTTTATTCAGTACAGATTTTTATGAGATAAAGGATGACATTGAAACATAAATCATAAGATCACCATTTATTTTTTTCATAAGAAGAAATGAACAATCAATCTTTTTTACTATAATAATTTAAATTTATTATTAAATATTAATATAATTGATTATTTATTTCGATAATTTTATAAATTAATCTTCATCAAAGTCAATTCATCTTAATAGAATCAAATCTATCAAATTTTTCTTAATTTTTAATTTTACATTTCTCCAATTCAACTTGAGGACTTACTATTAGGAGCATTTTTCTATATATTATTTTAAATATACTTTCGTTCCTTTTATTCTGATTTTGAGATCGAAAATAAATATTTTTTCAATTTTCTAAATTTAAATTAAAGTTCAAATTGTTTATTTTCCCAATAAATAATTTTCTTTTTAATTAATTTAGTGAGAAACTAATTAGGTATGAAAGAATTGAGGAATTAAAATAATAATTTTAAAAAAGATATCTTATAAATGTTATAATAAGATTAAAGGATATCAAAAATAAAAGGATAACATAATTTAATACACAGTATCATTATTATAGTTTAGAGAAGTTTTGACCATATTTAATTTTCTTACTATTCACTCACATATTTAATTACTGCTAAAAATATTGATATTGAGCATATTTATCCAGTTAATAAGTCAAGATTATTCAATTTTTGAATAATATATGGTTTTTTTGATACACATATAGCTTGATAAATTAATAAACATAATCCAAATAAAGATCCTTTTAAATAGATGTTTGTTTCAAAATATGTGAGTATAAAAATAAAAATAGTTTTTTTCCAAATTTTTATAAATTCCCAATAATAACTTTAATCATTGTATTCGTTAAACATATAACATATGTGTCTTCTCAGTCTTATTTAATCTAGTTATTTTCTAAGAATGAACATTAGTGTAAACAAAAAAAGAGGTATTAATATACCTATTACAAAAAATCCTGGAATAACTAACCAAATAATCCATGTATAATGATTTTATGTATCAAATTCTATAGATACATTTCCCTGTACATAATCAATGTTTGAAATTTGTCTCTTAGCCAATAAAGAGATTGTTCTAATAATAATATTGATTATACTGTTTAATAATTGAAGCATAATTGGAAACATATAAATAAAGAGAAGTATTTGATATTATTGTTTTATCAAATTTTTATTTAACTGCTATAGAGTAAATAAAAAATCCAAATATCACAATTAATAATTATATTAAGACAAGAATAAGGATAGTAATAATTCTTGAATAAATCAATTAAGCTACTGAAATTTCAGTTACAAGACAATCCAAGCTTGTAGCCATAAAATTTGAAGGATTACTTGCTTAATCAACTAATCCAAAAGACAATGAGAATTAAATATTGAATGTAAATATAACAGAAAATATCCATAAATAGTTAATAAACATTTTTATTAAAATACTTTAATGATCTATTAGGATAAATAATAATTTTTACCTTAATTTAGTTTGAATAAAATCTTACTAAATTTTTATCTTAATTTCAAAGACAAAAATAATTAATTGGATTAATCAATACTTCTTAAAGTCAATAAATTTTGTAAGATAGACCTTAAATTTTAAATAAAAATACCAGAATGATGCAAAGAAAAAAGGTAATAAACTCTCCTTTAAATTCATACATAAAGAACAAGTTTAAGCTTATGATACTTTAAAATATCTGCCATTACCCCTAATATTATAAATATCACATTCTTCACATAATCCACCAATATGGCCCATAAAACATAAATTATTTCCAACATCCCAACCTCCTATGCAATCCTCTTAATTCTTAAAACATTATTCTGTTAAATCTGAAAGAGGATTTGGTCTCCAAAATCCTTAAAGTAATTAAATCTTGTTAGAAGTAATACTTTAAAATTTAGTTTTATCAAAAATTGAGCATTTAGTTGTATTATAAGTCACAGAATAATATCCTTGGTTTGGCTAACACATTTAACAACCTGAATCAACATAAAATTCTCCTAATTAACATTTAAAAGTTTTTCCTGTTATAAGATATTGTAAATAATTTTATCTTTAGAAGGTTGAACAATTTATTTTTATTTACACTTTTTTCTATTCATTTTAATAAGGATCATATGTAAAAGATAACTGGCTTAAATCAAAATTATTAGTTTCCTTATTAAAAAAGACTTATTATATACTTTCTGTAGCATATAAAGATTCATTGTTTTTATTTTGATAGACTTAACAACTAGAATTAGAAACATTGTATAACTTTTCATTCATACTATTTTGAAAGTTTAATGAAATCTCATTAATATAAGACTAAAAACTTTAAATTTTAGGATTATATAGCTTATAATTTTTAATTTATTGATTGCTTGGCAACATTAATTAATTTGCATATATAACTGTACCTTATTCAAAAGTTTTATAATTATTTAACTTTAGTATATTAATAGTAGTATTTTCAACTTTAAATTGATATGATTACATTTCACAATTATTTATTGATAAAAATAAACTATGAGGAGTTTCAACAATATTATTTGTAAATGATTCAGCATAATTTAATAGAATCAATGAATTTATAAGATTATTCTTATCAATTTAATTATTTCCATTAAAATATATTCCCCCTCCTTAACGAGCTCTATTTTCACAAATGAGTGACATTAATATCTTAAAATCATTTTTACAATCTTGCATGTAAATAGCTCCTCCTAGATCACTTGCCTAATTTTTTAGAAATTTAACATTTTGAATTTCTATACTTGCAAATTTAGTAAATATTGCTGAACCATAAGTACCATTATTTTTTAAAAATAAAGAGTTATATAACTTTATTTTTTATTTCAATATATTAGAAGCTTAAATATGAAGGCATCCATATTAACTAATATTATTTAATATACAAATCAAATCATTGATTCTTAATTTTAAAAAATCATTAATTTAAAAGGATATTAATCCTTGTAGACATCCTTAACAATTATTACCCTTTATAAAAATTGAATTAAAAACAATAATATTTTGATTTGAAATGCTAGATAAAAATATCAATGAACCTGTTGAATAAATACCTAAATTTAATAAATTTAAGATCTCTTAAATAGAAAACTTTTATTCTTTTGATTAAATATAATAATCATTTATTTTTATTTTACATTATTTTTCTGAAAAGTTAAATTCAAAGATCTAAAAAAATGAATTATTATTTATCCATTAGGTAAATGATGTAGTATTTTTAATCTATATATTCTATAAATGTATTGATTAATTAATTGCCTCAGATTAACCAAAGTGAAAAATATTCAATGGATAAAACATACTGATTTAATCTAAATAAAAATTCATAAAAATAACTTTCTAAAAATCTATAATTTTAATTATTGGAGAGATGAAAATTCCTTCAACTATTAATCCTTCTATAATTAATTAACATCCATACAAATTTAAAACTGCATTATCTTTGTTAACTTTTTCTATTTCAAATAGACTAATTTGATTGATCTTTTAAAAATAGTTAATCCATCCATCTTAATTTTAAATAATGATCAGATTCTTGAAAAAAATCTAATTTTATCTTTAATTCATATAAGAGAATTCAATCTTCATAAATTGATTTAATAAGGAAATACAGTTATTCATTGTTATATTTTCAAACTTAATTAAATTTTATTTTAATGATGGAGTAATCCCAAATAAAACTGAATTTAATTTGTTATAAATATTTAGAAACCTAGCATTTCTAAGTTCTAAATATAGTTAGCTATTTCTTGAATAAATGTTAATACATCCTTGACTTTCAGAATTAGATGTAGTTTCTATGGAACTTATATCTAATTCATTTAAATTTATTATTCCCAAATTTTAAGTTCGAATTTCAAGAATTTAACTATTAGATGAAAGAATATAATGAAAAATTCCAGAAACTAAATTAAATTTTGCTGCACTAATTTACATAACACCCCCAAGATTTTTTATTATAAAAATTTTTTACACTATATAATTAACTTCATCCTAATTTATATCAATATCAATATCAATATTGTAATATTTATTCCATATTTATTTGTCCAAAAAATTATGATTTTTAATTGAAATTTAACTAATTACAATATTGTCTAAATTCATATAAAAATAAGTATTAGATGAGTTTGTTAACCCATTTTAAAAACAAGTGATCTATGAAAAAATCATTTCACTTTGTTATGAATCTAAAAATAGTAAAGAAGCTGATTTGGATGTAGGATCATGAATTTATTCATGATAAAAGTTTTCATTAAATTAAATATTTTTAAAAGATATTTGTTACTTTTTTTCTGAATATATAGAAATTAAAGAAAAGATTTTTCCATAACTTTATTTTAATAGAATATTTCCAGAAAAATAAAATTCTTCTAAATCTATTGTTTCCTTGATATTCTAATTGTATAATACATTTGAGAAGATCTATAAAATTGGATTATCTATGCTAAATTAGTTTATTATTTTTATCTTTCTTAATTTAATATTGTCAAACCCTTAAATCTGAACTAATTAATGATATATATTGATTTAATTTAAGCAATTAGGAGAGTAAGGGAGTTTTTGCTTTATAAATTAATTCTAATTAGTTATATTTTAGAATTCAATACTAGATACTTAAAATAAATTAAAAAAAAGAATAGAATCTGAATCATAAATGGAACAATTTATTAACTTAAATACTTAACAATTGAAATTGAAAATACTTATAAGTGAGTTATCCGATTCTAATCTACTAATATTATTAATTAGAATATTTGTAAGATATATTATAGTTTAATTATTTTCATTAGTGGATAGTGATTCAATTAAAATTGACTTAAAAATTTTGTTTAATTCAAAAAGCATAGAATCAAAAATTAATAAATTTTCGTTAAATGTAGTTTACATTATTTAAATAAATTTTGAATTAATAAATTTATTATCTTTAACTTGTATGTAAGATATTGAGGATTATAAATTTAATATAAAAGTATTAGAATTTTCAAATATGCATTTGCTAAATAATAATTACTTTAATGTGATTTAGACTTTTTTTTAAATTACAATAAAGCTTGAAGAAATAAACTCATTATTATAATTGGTCATATTTTCTCCTTAAACTTTAATAAATGAAGACTCTCCAATGAAAAATATTGAGGAATTATATAATTTAGTATTAGATAAATGAAAATTTTAGATTTTAATAATGTTATTAAGTGTTGGAAATGAGAAAAAAATATAATTGGTAAAAATGCAATTTTCAATAGTTACATCTTCTATCAATACTGTAGCATTTGGATGAATAGAGTAATTTTAAAATAAAGTAAAATTCTAAAGATTTAAATTAACAAAAGTTACATTTTTTAAAACAACTTCAAAACAACAGTATCCTTGATAAAATGTAATAGTAAAACCTTATTCTACATTCAATGATGAATAAAATTTGGTATTTTTTATGATTAAATTTATTGAAACCTAAAAATTAGAGAAAACCAGTTGTGAATTTTTTCCCATATAGAATTACATTTAATCAATTTCAATATCATCTATATTTATTATTTCTAAGTCAAGATTTGCTATATTATCTTAGTAATGATTTCCAATTATTTTTAATTGTACTTTTTAAAGTGAAAAAACATCATATTGCAATTCATTTTCAATTATTGAGTAGTCTTAATCATTACATTATTCAATTTAATGAACATTAAACTTGCCAATCAAAATTAATTTCTGAATTCCAAATTCATTAAAATATTTGATCTTATCTTAAAAATCTTAAATCATAGGATCAAATATATATTGAGAATTCTGACATTTCATATCAAACTAAAAAAATTAAAAACTAAAAATACATGATATTCAAAAATATCTGTACAACCATAATTGAAACAATATTTTGGTACACCAATGTAAGGATCTAAGACAACACCTTTATAATTTATCTTTTAAATGCATTTATAAGTGTAAATCTAATTTTCTGTAATAATTTGAAATCTACCATTAATTTGCTAACATAAAAATATTAAATATACATTTATATCTGTAAATGTTCTAGTTCGACATACTTAACATAATTAACTACATTTAAGACAGTTACCATCTTAATATGATAATATTGGTTGTTGATAATTATTTAAAGAACATTAATTACAATAAAATTAATATGGTGGTTCATTTGATAATAAACAAGATTAACATTCCGAATCACAATATTTCATACATTTATTTATAGAATTTGGCATGTATCCTTCTTAACATTTAAAAACTAATTCTTGAATTTAATAAGATTGTTTTGATGGTGGATAATAATACTTATTAGGTAAGAATTACATCAAAAAGCTTTATATAAATTGAACCCATGCATCTTGTAAACGAAAGTATCCTTCAATACATATTTTAGAATAAGTAATACTACAAAGATAACATTTACTTTATGTAATTGATGCAGTAAAACCATCATCACACAATACACATTTAATAACTTTTTCAGGAGTTAATATACATTGTCGACAATGTTTTATAAATTTTTCGCATTATTTACTTTCTGGAGCTACATTAAAATCATCAGTTGCTGTTAAAGTACAGATTTCTTTATTATCTAAACTTATATAAGATCTTAAACAATTAGTGATTGATGGTTTTCTAAAAATACATTAGCCTAAAATGAAATCAAAAAGAAAGTCTTCTTCACATTATGCACAACCAACTTTATGATATTCATTTTTATCAAATAATTAGGATTCTCTATATAATGTACATTTTTTTAGATCATTACTTATGTATTCAAAACAATATTTACAATATTCAATACTACATAATTTACATTCTTTTTGAGAATCCAAATAATATGGTTCTGAACAAAATTGAATAGGTTCATTTCCAAGATTAAAAACAGATTAACATTCTTCATTTACTAATTTTGATTAGAATTCACATTTTTTACATTCTAATTTTAATAATGTTTCTAAGCAAATTTCACAATTTCTAATATTACATTTATAACATTCTTTTTTTAAGGCATCTGGTATATTTTAAGATTCAGTAGCATAGCAAAAATTCTTGAATCCTTAATTTGATTCTTCAAAATCTTATATCAAATTAACATTTTAATTTTAATTATTATTATATTCTTAAATTAATTATGGATTATTTCCATCATAAACAAAATCTTATTAAGCATAATTTATTTATTTGGAAGTGTAAATTTCTTAATCTTGATATAAATCAGTATAACAAAAAGGGAAGACTGCCCATTTTATAGGGTTTTATAGACATTCAAGACAAGTGATAAATTTATCATTTATTATTGATGGACTAATTTTACATAATTAATTACCATTATATGCATTGATCTTCATATTAATAATAACCATAATTACATTTGAATTCTTTTTTATTTTCTTAGTAAACTATCAAATTCAAACTCTCATATCCAATACATTTAATTTAATCTATTTAATCAAATGAACAAACACAAGTTTTATATTCAGGTATATATATACGATTTGAATTTTCACGACATGATAAACAATCTGATTAAGTTGGACCATCACAAGCTTCACAACTATAATGACAATCAACAAAAACTCCAAACATAAATGGGCAACTTTCAAAGTTTAATCTTCTAAATTAAGTATTCAAATAATTTGAAGTTTATTTCTAAATATTACCAAACTCTAATCTAAATTAAATCAAATGAAATTATTAAACAGTTTCAAAAAAATCATAATAGTATTATTAACTACCTTCGTAAAAAATAATGCTTGCTTAAATTTCATTTTCTACTAATACAACTGAGATGTATTACCATAATTTAAGATCATTCATAATATCTAATTTCTTAGAAATAAGAAAAGGATTTTCTGAAAAGTCAATATTTACCAGAGGAAATGTGTAACTATAAGTTGTAATTATAATCTAATTTTGTTATGCAGATAAATAATAAAATAATTAAAATGCTGCTAAATTCTAATCAATTAGTTGTTGATTGTCAAAACTTGCTGATAGTTTTATTAATTAAAACTAAAATTCTTATTAATCTGGATAAATTTTTATAATTCTTACCCATGTTTATAAAGAAAAAGAATCACAATTTTGATGTTCAGATGAAAAACTGAATGAATCTTATTTAAATGCATCTTTTTCTGGAATAAATTAAGAGAAAGAATAATCATAACAATCACAATATTATTTTGAAGAAATTATTCTAAGAGCATCCCTAACATTATTCTAACTATTACTAATTGAAAAAGGATATATAAGTATTTATCCTGGAAAATAAGAAAATTTATTAACTCCTTCTAAATAAGGGATTTATTATTTATCATCTATAATTAAGCCACCTCCAAATGTCAAAAATAAATTTATATCTTTATAAGGAAATCTCAACTCCAAAATTTTATCTTCAATGATATTTGGATACTAAATAAATATTAATTACAATCTCTTTTGTATTGGCCATTATGTTAATCCAAAGAAATGCCAAACATATTCATAAGAGTAATTATCAATTATAGTTTCAATAAGATGCCATTAATTATCTGATGTTACAAATTATACTTTTCTTTTTATTTTTTTCGTTGAATAGTCAAGACAATCATAAAGTAGGAAATTTATGAATTAACTTGATTATTCAACAACATTATGTAAATGAAAACAATTGCTATCAAATATTCCTACTTATCCAACTTAATTATTATTTGAAAGTGGAGAATACCTACTCCAAATAGCAAAAGAAAATTAAGTCTCTGTTTAGTAGTTATAAGCATTAATTTCAAATTAAACTGTATAAATTGAAAGATCATCCTCCAATTAAATAAAATAATAGGAAGTTGAAAGTTAAAATCTTAATGCTAAGATAATCAAGTTTATTTTCATCATTATTTAAAATATAAATCATACTATCGAATTTTTTTAAATTTAAACCGCAAATGAACTCATCAAAATTTTAATGACGAATTGCTTCAAATTTTGATTGAAGATTTTATTATTATAAAAAACAAAAAATAGAGGATGGAATTTCTATATAGTTGAATGAAGCCTTATAATTATTTAAATTTTATTTAAACTATTGTTTCTTTACTACTAAACTATTTATTTAATTTATATATCAAAAGCTTAGAATACAATTTAAGAGAATATATTGAATTATTTCCATTAATAAAATAATCTTTTCCATTTAAGCTTTTCTTATACATAGCTACTGCCGTTAAGTAAATAAAACTTCTCGAATAAATTTAACAGAAAATAAATAAAAGAATTTGTATGTGCAAAGAATAAAAAAATTGATCTCGACTTTTGCATTTCGAATTAGCAAATCTTGTTTTCTATTCAATATTATTATAAATTTATTTTATATAATACCCTTTTTTAAAGATCATAAAAAATATAGTATGCTAATGGTTTTGTATAAAACTAAAATCTAACTCTATTTTCATTAATTTTATTATCACTATTAGAACAACGTCATATAAATATTTGAAACATCAATAGACTTTTAAGGATAAACTAAAATAGGAGTAACGTTATAAATAAGTTTGTTTTTATAAAAAATATTTAATTGAACATTTTATTTTGAGATCATTAATTGAAATTGAATTAATCTTAATTTATCTTGATTTTAAATTTAAATTTTCAATTTAAGATTATTGAAGATCTTGTCACAGCCCACAAAAAATGGTTCACAAATAAAGTATTTTATTATTATTATATAAAAAAATAATAAAAATATATTAATAAAAACTTTAATTAATTTTAAATAAAATTAAAATTATTTTTAATGATGGATTATAAAATATTTTCTTGTAACAGTACTATTTGAAAAAAGGACAAGAGGGTTCTCTGTTTTTTTCAGCGCAAAATCAAACAAAAAAAATTTAAAAGACTTAAAAATGAAAGAGGTATTTAAACCTGATAAATTATAAATTACAAAATTATGTTGAAATTACGTTTCCCATATATTTTTTGATGTTGTTTAAAATTTAAAAATAATTTCCAATAGTTTTAGTTAGCATTTTTTATTATATTATTTTGTTTTGATTAATAAACTTTAAGTAGGTGCTAAATAGATTTAAATTTATCAAATTGTTAAATAGAATAACTTAAATTATCAAGAACGATTTTTATTTTATAATTAAAAAGGCTTCTGAATGTTTCAAACTCAAATGAGATTTAATTACTTTTTTGATGAAATAATAGTAGAATTCTAACAGAATAAGGAAAGGCTGTATTTACTGTGAAAATTTAGAATCTTCAACTAATAAAGATAAAATAATAAAATAAAAATCTATATGAAATGATAAAATAATAAAATAAAAATCTATATGAATAATATAATAAAAATTATACTTATATTTAATAGAATGAAGCAAGAAGAATAAAAAATTAATTAATAGTTTTGTAATAATAAATTGAATTATAAAATATATTGAATAGGACGACAAAAATTTTTTTTATTCTTTTAAATCTCTCTTATATTCTAGTATTTAGAGGAGTAACAGGACTTCATATGGTTTAGCTAGAATTATTTAGAAACATAACGATGAAATGAAATAAAATAAAATTTAAAAGACAATTTACTACGAGAAGAATTAGAGATATAAGACATTAAAATATCATAAATATAGTAAAATGATATAAGAAAGTTTTATGTCTCTTGATATTTTTTTTAATAAATTATGAAAGATATGAATTATAATAGAAAGAAATTATTATTATTTTTTTTCATTCTTTTTACTTTAAATTTCCTTCTAATCAAAGATTTATTTTTTTCAACTTTATAATTGAAAATATTCACAAAAGCTTAATTAATTGTTTTAATCTGTGAAACTTTATAAAAATATTATTACTTGGTAAAAATTTGCAGTCAATAATCTCTTTGATTATTGTCACTTTAAGATGTTTGTAAAATTAAAGTTTCCTTATGAATAATTTTAAATGATCAACTTATGATATTTAATTATGAAATTTATTGAAAATAATAAATAACAAATTTTCTTATCAAATTTTGCTTACATGATTCTGATTTTAACAATGATTACATAATGATTGATATAAGTTTAGAGAGATAGTACTTTTTAAATTTGATGGGGTGTTCCTGATTTAGGAATGCAAAAAGTGAATTTTCGATATTAAAATTAAAGTTTAAAATTTCTCTAGATGGATTCATTATTTGAGATTATTCAGAATATTAATAAGTATAGAAACTATATTATTTAGAGATATATTATCAAGATTCATAAATTTCAGGGCCTAAAATGTAAATTACGAAAGGCTATAATTAAGAGGATTTAGAGTAGAGTCTCTATTTTGTGAAAAAATGAAAGGACGTTACATAATGCCTAAATGTTTAAAATGTTTAAATATCATTATTATTTCTTAAGAAATCGCTAATATGAATATTATTTTAGAAATAAAATTTGTAAGAGAATAGAGAAATTTAATTATATGATAAAATATCTTATATAATATATATTTGATGATTTTAATAATCTCACTCTTTAGAATGTGCTTATGTGAAAATTATTATGTTTCAGAGTAGACAAAATTAATATTGAGTGTTGAATGGGATGATATAAAACTTGGATTAGGAGTTTTATCTTAATATTGCCCTATGGGAGTAAATAAATATCAGTATGAATAATCAAGTGATCATTATTATTACTTTTTATAAAGTGCTTACTTTGGAGAGAGAAATGAATTTCTTTATTTAATCTATATGGAAATTTAAACTGCTGAGAAATAATTTATATTTTATGTTCAGTTTAATTTAGAAGGTAAATGGATTGAATGTACTTTTCCATTTAAAGCAAGGGAGGTAGAAGGCATCTTAATTAAAACAATCATATATTATTAAGACACAGAATAATTTATTATAGAATAATTATGGGGACATGATTAACGATTCCGTTTTACATTTCCTTATACATATTTACCAAAAATTTAAGTAACTTTAAACTCAGGAGGAATTTACTCAGTAATAAATATATCTTATTTTAGGATATTAATCCTATTACAAATAAAAATATTTTATTAAAATAATTTCCAGGTTAAATGAAAGTAGTACGCTTATTTGAAAAAGATTTGGAAAGACCTTGGAATGATTTAATTGAGCCAGAGGGTTTAACTGCTTTGATATTAGAGAAAGAAATTATAAATTTAGAAGAAAAATATTCAAACATGTTTTATACTATTTCAACCATTACTGGAAGATATTATAAGGTTTCTTTCTGGGCTAAAACAGAAAAATTATATGATAACAGCTTTAATTAGATTATACATATAATTAGAGTAGTAGCTAATCGTTATACACAAGACTTTAAAGTAATTGGATCTAATTCATTTGTGTTGGAATATGTATACAATAGATTAACTCAATAATGGAAATTTAGGATCAATTTTTATTCTTATATAATTCCTATTCTAATACCTTAGATGGCAAATGATAATTTGTTAAATAATACTGATGAATTTATAATAGAAGAATACTCATACATTAATACTTGGCATTTTATAACAATTTAATATTAGCCAAATAATATTAATTTTAATTTTGAAAATCCTAAATTCAATTATTAAATAAATAAACTTTATGAAGATGTTTATTAATTTTCATAAATTTATTATCGATTATATTTAGGAGGGTTAATATTGGATGCAAACACATTAACAAGATCATTTGCTTTAATATCCTTTTATGATTATAATTAAGAATATTTTAAGTGTCATATATCATGTCAAACTTGCTTTGGTCCCTAATATAATAATTGTTAAAGCTGTCCTCCTGATTCAAATCGAGTTTTCAATCCTAATGAATCTACTTGTTAATGTTAATTATGGTATGTAGAAATTTCTGATTAAATTTGTAAATTAGTTACTAATTAAGAAATCATATTAACTTTAGAAGATGATTATGAAACTGAAACAATAAATTGTCTCTTTGGAGAATTTGAATATAATGGAAACTGCTATTAATGGTAACATATATTTATATATAAAGTCCTTTAGCAGGTCAAGATAATTAAATTATATGTTCAGCTTGTTTAATGAGACCTACAGATTGGATTTAAAATCCAAAATGTTTAGATATATATTATCAACATTAAAATAATCCTAATAATCAATATGTGTAATTAATTATTGATGAAGAATTATCAAATCTATACTATATATTTCAAAGTGCTGAACTTTAACCATGTCACGGTTGCAAAATATGTCAAAATAAAGAAGATAAAACATGTCAATTATCATCTTATACTCATTTAGATATGGAAACATACATAAAGTGTTTAAAAGGTTATTATTTTAGCAATGGAGAATGCCTTATATAGAAAAAGAATTTAGTTACATAAAAATTATCATGTAGAAATAGTTGTATAAAATGTAGTAATGGTTATTGTTTAATTTGTTCAGATTAAAACAATTTCTTTTTAAATTATATGGGATAATGTTAACTATGTTCAATAACTCATTGTAAATATTGTTTCTAATATAATTTATACAATCTAAATGAGAATTCAATTTTAAACAATAGATCTGATAATAAATAAATATCTGAAGATTTTGAAGTTGGTTGTGCATTATGTTAAACAGGATATATATATTCATTCTAATCAAATTAATGTCATCCTTCATATGATGATAATGGGTGTAAACATTACATAAATTATAATGAACAAATTGAATGCTATTCAACCCAATTCGATAAATTAAGTAGTAAATTTCAATAAATTGATAATTGTTAAAATAATTTATCGAATTGCGATTAATGCATATATTCAAACTTTGGTATGCTTATATGCATTTAATGTTCTTATGGTTTTTTTATTAATAAAGTAAATGGATAATGCAATAAATGTTTAGATCTTATAGCTCATCATGTTTAACATTGTTAAATTGTAGATAAAGCTAATTCATTTTATAAATTATCTTTACTAGGCTTTCTCTAATATTCAACTTAATAATTAAATGATTTAATTACTATTTTTAATGATTTTAATAGTATTTAAATTGTTGAATGCTAAAATAATTTTATGGTAGATAAAATTTAAAATTAATGTGTTGATTCATGCACAAATTGTGATCATTGTGATTTTATAAATGGACAAAAATAATGTCTGAAATGTACTTTTTAATTGGATTATATCAGCAATTATTATTCTCAAAAATTAGGAAAATGTTATCGATGTCCTTAACTATGCAAATTTTGCTTATAAATAGATGAAGATCTTATTTAAGTAATATTTCATAATATATTAGAAATATAACCCTTATTTTACAATCACTGAATAAAATATTAATTAGGCTATGAAATGTCTAATTAATTTTGATCAAAACTTAACCTATCTTGATAAAAAAAGTGGTTTGATACAACCATTTAATAATCTTACCAATTCAAAGTAATTCTATTCAGCTTATATTAATTATGATTATTTTGAAAGCTCAAGCTATGATGATATCATTTATAAAAGCGTTCGTAAAATTTATTATCATATATAATCGCTAAATAATAATCAATATCCATTTTTAAAGAATTATTATTCTGTAGCTAATTTAATAGTTAATTTGGAGGGTGTTCTTTATGATGACGAATCATTATATTATATTATTAATGTATCCGAAGTTAGAGCATATTAAAGAAATTTTGAAAAAGAAAAACACTTTTATGATCTACAATCATTTTATGGAGTAAAACTTTATGCTGAAAATTGCACAATTCAATAAAAAATACTTTAAAAATTATTTATTATTAACTAACCACTTCTAGTTAATCTCACTATATTTAACATTTAAGATATTAGCTTCGAGGAGTCCTAAGTTATTACAATCAATAGTTATTTCAAAAATTCACATCTAATTCTATAACATTTTCTCTTCTATAACACTACTTTTTTAAATAGTGTCTTTATATAACATTTTACTGATAAATACGATAGTATCTATTTTTTTGACTTAACCTTCACCAATTGTTCTTTTAAAGAAAGTATATGGTTTTTTCAAAAAGGAACAGTGACTATTAATTTAGTATAGATGAGCCATATCAAATTCATAAATTGCACGTTTAGAGATAGCCTTGCTTTTTAAATAACTGAAAGCACTGATTCTTTTTCTATTACAGATTTTTAGGTTATAAATTGTTCATTTTTCAATTCCTCTCTATTTAAAGGATTTTCAAATCTGAAAATGAATCAAATATGGTTAGATAATTTAAGTGTAATTCAAAGCGATTTATTCATTTATTCATTTTCTTAAAGTAACTAAACTGTATTCTTGACTTAATTAATATGTTAAGGACTTTTATTAAATAAATCATCAATTTTCTTTTTTGAAAACAGGCTAAAATATTTACAAACAGAAGTTATCATAATAGATTGGAATTTAGAAGTTATTAATTTATAATCTACTTTAGGATATATTAGTGATAGTTTTATTTTTATAGTTTCTAATGTGAATATTAAGATACAAGATCTGATAATATAAAAAAGCATTCTATTTTCATTGTTAATTTTTCAAAATTGTCAAGTTATTATGATAAAAAATATTTAAATTTTATAAAGAGAAAAAATAGAATAAAGTTTAGATACACTAGATAGTTAAATTCAAACAAAATATTTAATGTATTTTTCCGAATTTATTTAAATTACTATTGATAATCTGAAAGTTATAGGTTGGGTTTAAAAAAGTGAATCATTTTTAATTATAAAATCTGACTCCTCTGCTTCTAAATTTATTCAAATATCTGATTTTACTATTGATGATTACTCAAATTATAATATTCTCAATTAAATAAACTCGATATTATTCATTCAAATAGATGCTGTTATATAAATTAAAATCACTAAAAGCCACTTTAAAAAATGCAATTTTTGGTATAGATCTCCAAATACTGATATGATGTCAGCAACTTTATTAAGAATTAAAGCACCTAAATCTTAAATATTACTTGATAATCTAATCTTTAACATTGCAAATATTTATAATTCTTTTGATTCTCTAATTTATATTGATGCTAAATAAATTTCAATGCTTAATAGTGAAGTAGAACATGTTAATAGTCAAATAAATAATGATCAATTAAAATCTATTTGTGGATTCTCAATTTTTCTAGCAGAATATATAAATATCATTAATACAACAATGAGTAATATTAAAAGTTCTTAATATGGTTTTATTTATAGTTAATTGAAGTTCAAAGGAAATTTTAAAGTCATTAATTGCATTTTCAATAACCATCTAATTTCAAACAATAATTCTTACTTGACATAATTAGGAGGAATTTTTACAATTGATGGAAAATTATCAATGTTAAATCTAAATTTTATAAATGTTTCAGTACTAAACATTTATGTTGAAGAAAAAGCTGCCTTTTTATACTTGATTCCATCTTCTCTTTCTAATTAGATATATATGTATAATTTGACTCTCATAAATGTAATTTCAAAAGATAATTTAATGGGCAAATTATAGTTTCCTTATTAGAGTTAAAACAATTAAATTGTAATGAATAAAATCAGAATTAATAACAGTGAGAATAGTTCTTAAATCTAAAGATTGATTGAAAAAGAAAAAAGTTTGTAGAGAGACATTAATTATGAAGGAGTTTTATCAACTGCTTACAGGTAAATTATATTATTAAAATAGTTCTGTCTTGATTAATGATTTTATTTATGAAGGTTATTTAACTCAACCTATTTGTAAATTAGATGTAACAAGTAGACTAAGAATTAGTAATTTCAAATTTGTATTCCTTTCTATTTTAAATAAAATACCATATTTTATAGATATTAATATATAGGGTGGAGATTTAGTATCTGTTGAAAATATGTATTTTGAGAAAATAAATTTTGAAAAATAATTAGAATATTTTTTTAAATTTAATTGCTTTTTACTTAAAAATGGTTTTATATCAAATTAAATTAAGTTTAAAGAAATGGTATGTCCTTAATGTTAAAATGGTTTAATAACAATAGTTAATAATTAAAATCAATTTGAAATGAAGGTGACTGAGTACATATTTATTGATAACAATTGTGGTATAAATAGCTGTTTAATTCTATAAAATATTTAATTGGAAATTAAAGATTCTTATTTTATTAATAATTTTGCTCAAAAAAATGGAATTATATCTGGAATAAGGAGTGATCTATATTTATAAAATAGTATAATAAAATAGAACAAAATAATTGGTTTAGCAGGGGCAATATTTTTAAATTCATCTATATTAGATGCTTAGAATTTAATTATAGTCAATAATTCTGCTAATATTGGAGGGGCAATTTATTGTGAAAATTCTATTTTGAAACTAAAGATGTCAAAAAAGAGAAACATAATGTTAATTGAAAATTTTGCATCAACTGGTTTAAACAATATTCGAGAAAAGGCTGTTTTTTTAAAATTGAATATGTTTGGTTTACCTCTTTAAAATACACGATAAATTTAAGAGGATTAAATATTAGATAGTCCATCGTATATAATCAACCAAAAATAAATGAGTAAAAATGACACATTCATCAATGTAGCAAGTGGTTAACAGTTAAAGGAATTTAAAGAGTTTGACAAAGTTTAAATGAAATACAATAATTATACTATCTCAGTAGAAATAGAAAAATATAATTAATTAGGAGAGAAGATTATTGATAATTAGGGAGAAAAGTGTTAGTTGACTTAATATTAAGTAAATTCTGAGCTAAATTAAACTAACTATGAAATTATTTAATCATCTAAAATTGAGAATATCACTTATTTATATTTTGATGAAATGTATGAATCATTTAAATTGGATAATATTAGTTTTATTTTGGAACCTTACACAAATTAATCAATATTTTTGTTGATTTTAATAAAGTGTGAAGGAATGTCACAAAATTATAATTTTATATTTAAAATAAAAACATTACAATGTTAAATAGGAGAATACTATAACTAAAAACAATGTTTAAGATGTGATGCTGATAAGGGGTATTATTCACTTAAAAAGGATTCGATTGAATGTTAAAGATTAGATCCAACAAAGATGAAAGCTGTAACATCATATTAAATCGAAATTCTGTAGGGATTTTGGAGATATTCATATTATTCAGATAATATTGAATAGTGTGAGAATTTTGATAATTGTTTAGGAGGATGGAATGTTAACTATGAATCTTGCGCTGTAGGATCTATAGGTGCTATTTGCAATGAATGTGATATTTATAATATTAGAGGTTAATCTTCTTATATCAAAACTTTATCAGGTTTATGTGAAAAGAAAGAATAACAACAAGACATTTTTATAATCACAATTATTTTAATGATATTGTAATTTTGTAATTAATATTAGTACATTTGTTGTTACATATGTTATATCTTTTCTGAAAACAGATATGTACATTCAGTATAAAAAAATGAAATACAAAACAATTCATCATAGAATATTATATAGATGTGAAATAGGTATAAATTTAATGATTTTAAAGATCAATTGAATACAAATTTAAAATTGTTAATAAATTTCATGTAAATTCTATATCCAATATTGCCACCATTAAAATTTAGTGATAATTTTTCTGCAATTGCTTGGACAATAGGGAAGTCTTCAAAAACATTATTGTTTTTAATTAATTTTTTGGCTGATAATTTTGAGATTGAAATTCTTTATTTGAAGATGATTTGGGCAGTGATTATTCCAATAATTTAAATTAGTACTTTGTTATTTGCTTATATTTCAATAAATAGGATTATCAAAAATTCTGATATTTAAGTAATATTTATTTAAGCTTCTTGCATTTTTTTGATGTGTTATTCTATGCCAAATATCATGGAAGAGTAATTTAATCATTTTTTATTTTTTTTAGATTGATAGTAGTTATTTCAAGAAGAACTATTGTAAATATTGATTGGATTGGGGCTAATCTATCATATATATATTATACAGATGAGCATCAAACTTGGATTTGGTAATTTGTAATTCCATCTATATGTTTAATATATTTGGTTATTCCTTTGATAATTTTTGGTGTAATTTATAAAATGCATCAAAAATCTAATTTTGATTTAGCTTATGGCATTTATGGATATCTGTGTAGTGATTTTAAATCAGAATTCTATTTTTGGGAATTGGTTAATTTGCAAATGAAATTAACTTTGATTTTTATTCTATTTTTTTTTGATAATGATTAAATTATCTTGAAAAATCTAATTGTAATTGTTATATTGTTTGGATATTATGGTTCAATAGCTAATTTGAAGCCATATTTAAAAACAAATTTAAATCACTTAGAAAAATCTGGAATTATCTTATGCTGTGTATTAATCTCATTAAACGTTTTAAAAGTTGCATCGAATAAATATTTTTATACTGAAGTATTATATTTGACTGAAATTTTAATGTTTTTGATAGTTTTATTAATACTTTTTTACACACTATTTAAAATATTTGGTGCATTTATTCATCAAAATTACAAGTTTTTTGATCGAATAAGAAAGAAAATTAATTCTAGATTTCCAAACTTAATTAATTATGGAAAATTTTTTGAACTAAACTTAAAAATTAGATCAGAAATCAGAAAAAACACTTTCTATAGATTTCAGAGAATCAAACTATCTTTAAAACGATTGAAATAAAATAACAATAGAAGTGCAAGAGTCATTATAAATCATCATCATGAAGATTTAGTGACAAATATCTTACGTTCTGATCAAAAGTCTTTAATACAACAATATTCTATACAAAACTCAATGATGAATTGAAAAATAAATTTATTTTTAAATTAAAATATGCAAATTGTCTTTTTTTATCCATTTAAACTTTGGAGTTTTTACTAGTTCTATATATATTATCTTAAGTCATTATTATAAAATAAATAGATTAACTAAAATATATCCTCCATCTGCCAAATTTAACTCTGTTAAGGAAATTTAAGGTAATTAAAAAATTTATAATATTATATTATTAATTGACATAATATTGAATGTAGAAGAAGGGTAAAAATTTTAGAATTTGGAAAAAATTTCTAATAAAAAAATTTGATACACTACTAAACTAATAAGAAAACTCAGAATCAAAAAGTCCAGTAATAAATATATAAGTATTTTATAAAAATAAAACTTTGATATGATGATTGATGACATTTTTTTAATTTGACCAAATAAATAGAAGAAATAATTTTTTAGCCTTTATTTTTCTAATAAATGATCTAATCTATTTATTATTCATCTAAATAATTGAAAATTTGTATTTTAGCTAAACCCTAATAATAAACATCAAAAGACAGTATAATAACATTTATATACTCTTCATTTTATTTAATAATACTGATCTCTCAGTTTTCTTATATTTCAATTTAGGTAATTTTTGCAGGTAACATAATTATGATAAAAAAAGATTAGCATTTTATTGAAATAGATTTCATTTATAACGGTATTATTATTAGTTATAGCAATATCTCAAAGTATAATTATATTCTAATTTAATTAAGAGATTTTACATTATAATCTCCATTATTATTAAATTGCATTTTAATCACAAGCAGTTTCAAAAATGTATGGTAAAATAAATTAAAAAAATTATTGATATTGGCAGATCCTACCTATAATTAATAGAACGAAGCCTTAAAATTCTTGCCCTTTTTTCAAATCAAATCATTTTTTTTAAATTGTATAATTATAATAATTTTAATTTAACAAACAAATAATTTAAGAAATTGATTTTATAATTGGCTAGTTCGTGCCCAATTTAAAAGTAAGTGATTTATTTTTTCTATTAATTGAACTATTTTAATTTTATTCAAAGAACTCTTTTCTCATTAAATTATTAATTATATAAAATAAAAAATGCTTAATCACAATATTGCTTTAGTCATGAGCTTAGACAACGAAATAAAAGATAAAGGAAATTTGTTTGTTGGAGGATGGGAGTCGATCAAATTGATAAAAGATCAATAAATTAATGCTGTTTTATCAGCTGTTTGGTTTGGGTGCAAATCATTAGATAAAAATGTGGAACATTTAATAATAAAAGCAGAAGATAACCCAAATTATGAAATGAGTAAACATTTTGAAGAATCAGTGAAATTTATAAATGATAATCTTAAAATAACAAATGTTTTAGTGCATTGTGCTGCTGGAATTTCAAGGTCAGTTTGTTTGATAATTGCATATATGATCAAAATCCATAAAATAAAACCATAAGATGCTTTAATGAAAATTTAATAAAATAGAAAATGGGCTAATCCAAATGATGGATTTAAAAAATAATTGGAAAAGTATTATAATGAGGTAATAGAAGGAGTATAATGATTATTTAAACATTATTATAATTATATATTATATATGTATTTTATTATTAAAACCTAAAACTTTGGTTATTTGTTTATCAATGATTTATAAAGTAACATCTTAAATGAATTAAGTTAATATAATAATTTTTATTTACTTAAATGTGATATTTTTAATTAAAATCATATTAAAATTTATGTCTTCATCATTTTAAATAAACTTTAGAAGTTAGTGGTGATAAATTTAAAATGATTTATCTATAAAAAAATAAATGCTAAAACAAATGATTTTTACTAAAATCTTTTTAATGTATAAAAATTATTCCATCCTTCACCATTGAACGCAACATAAATATACAGTTAGGTGATTTAAAACTTTATGTAACAAAAATCTTCTTATTTTATTTGATGAGTGTAATTATCAATTCGATTCTGAAGTTTCTATTTTTGATTGGTAAGGCTAATCAACCATAATTTTATTTTATATCATAAAGCTTAAACCAAATTTAAATATGGAAATAGAAAATAATCTTAGAAGTTAGTAGCCATTTGACCTAAAAGAAAAGCTCTAAAATAGTTCTTGATACTACGATCTTATATTTTATGAATTCGTTTTACCAATCATAAAATTATGAGAATTTCTAGTATAATCTGATACATGAGGTATCATTCTCCTTAATAATATAGAAGTAAATAAATAATTGTAAACTTAATGAGAATATCTCTAAATAACTCTATCCCATAAAAAATTTTCAGTGTGTATAATTTTAATTTTGGGCAACTTTCTTATTTTGCATATCTTATGAATATCAAATAACTTAAAATCTTTAGTCATTTCGATATGATGGAAATCTTTGAAGCGGCTGGGTAAATATTTAATTATTTATAAATAAGAATTTAAGAGTAATTGATCAAATATATATGATAATATTAGAAATACTTAAATAGGGTCTTTTATCATTTTTCAAAGTAATTTTAAGGAATTATTAAAATAAAATTAAAATATTAGATATATACAAACTAAAATCATGAAGAGATTTTACTATTTTTGTTCTTTATCGTATAAAATGCTCATTAATTTAAGGATTGTTGGATATTTATATCAAAAGTATAGAAATAGCTCCATACCGTTCTTTTTTATTTATTATTCTGATCAATATTGAAACGACATTATTTGAAATAACATTTAAATCTGAAAATTAATATTGATCATTTCTAATATAAAAAAGTTCTTAAATAGATTAATTTTTATTCTTTTGTTATAATTTTTTAACAATTCATCTTTCCCCATCACTAAAAATATATTTCAGAATTTACCTTATAATTATTTTTTCTAAATAGATAAGGATTTTTTTTCTGATAGATTCGTCAAATCTACTTTTATTTAAATTAATATTCTTAGTGATTTTGAATCACTTTATTTAAATTATTTATCTATAGCTGCAAAACTGAACTAAAAATTTTAACAATTCGACAATTTTCTCATCTTTAAGACTCATTAAATTGAATCATTTCTCATTTCTTCATTGAAAACTGTGAAATAATTATTTTTATTAAATTCATGATCTTTAAGTTGTTTCATAATATTCATCATTATCTTCATTTTCTTTTTTATTACATTTAACTTCCCTTGTTAATCACATTGTTTTAAATTTTTTACTTTTAGAAGGAATGTACCATTTTATATTGTTAAAGATCTTCATCATTTGAAAGATATTTCAAACAGTCTGAAATATTTTCTTTATTAAAAATTTCAATTATTGATCTGAATCTTAATTCGTCAAAATATTTTGAGGAGACGAAAAATATCAAACAGATCTTCTTTCTTTTCTTTTCTTTTTTCTTTTTTTTTTAAATAATATTGAATTTCTATTACTTTTATATTAACTCTTATATAATGAAGAAAAAAATATCTTATAATTAATGATAAATTAAAGACAAATCATTGAGAATATTAGGATAAAGACAAATTCAATAAATTTTAAATCATACAAAACTTTTGCATAGCTTAAATCTCTCAGAATATAGAATCAATAAATAATTTAATTTATAAAATTTCATAATTGATTCATTTGATTTAAACCTGACTTTTTTTAATACCTATCATTTATTCCAGATACTATTATATAATTTCTCCCCTCAGATGTTTCAATTATAATTATTTTGAATTTCATTATATTATTTTTATAACAACTTATTATTTTTCTGGGTAAAAAATCCTAAAAAATTACACATAGTTAGATTATATATTTTTATTAAACACAAATAAATTGTCATCATTCATATTAATTAATTGTGTGAGTGCGAACTTTGACTATTATTTAATAGATTTATTTTCTCTATTTTGAGTTTTTTTAAATTGTTCAATTTTTTATAGAATAGACAAAATTTTTAATGAAACTGGATATTAAGAGAAAATACAATAAAATATAAGTAAATTATCTATGATAATCATAATCAGACCATATTTTTATATAATTATTTTTTTTATTTAATTTTATTCATAGTTGTTTATATAGATTAAATATGTGAAAAATAATCTATTTTTATATATTGAATTATTTATGAATTTCTTTCAACTTTCAAATTTTATTAATGATCCTGCTTTTCAAAATAATGTGTTTCCTAAAGAAATACTAATACAGACTTTTACATTTTAGGAATTATATTTGCAGAAAAAGGGACACAGATTGAAAAAAAAATTTTCTACCATTATTATCGCATTTTAAACCGTATTAATAAGAAGTCTTTTGAATGCTTGTTTTTAATAATCCTTAATTTCTAAATATTAAATATTTTTTGATAATGATTCATCTATAATATCAACAACATAAGCAATAGTTTCTTTACTTCGTTTAGAGATGATTTATTATATGTATCTTCTATTTTTAGAGAAATTCTTATACTCTAATGATTTTTATAATATCAATGTAGGAACCACTTTGTCTTTATTACCTGCTAAAAGATCACAAAATTTATATATAAAGAGCTTTATTTTTAAGAATTTAATTAAAACTAAACTTGAAGAGCAATGTCCCTTTAGGAGAAAATGGCATAGATAGCTCTTTAGCAATAGCAATATACTATATTATAATTCCATCTTGATTAAATTGTTAGTTAAAAATTGATTAGACAGATTAGTGCAAAGTAAATAGATGATCAACATAAACTACATACCGCAAATAATATTTTTATTAATTCAATAACAACTTGAAACAGTTCTAGAAAATTGAAAACCTTTGATCCATAAATTATCTTTTACTCTTCCTAATTATGTATTTTTGGCCTATAATTCAAATATTGGTTTACAATAAATAAATTACATGTAGTAAAGTAATAGAAATCGTAGCATTGAAATAATTGAGCATTTTTTATTAAAAATATAATCAACAATCTTTGATGATCTTATAATCTAATTATAATTCTTTTCTAATATAAAAAATATTTATCACTTTTAATCAATCAATAATCATAGAAAATAGAAATTAAAATTCTTTTCTTTTACCATCCTACTCTTCAAAATACTACTTAATTTGATATCATTGAAAGGAATTTAAAAGAAAATTATAATAATTTTAAGACTATTCAATTTTTAAATACTTTAAAATCAAATATTTATCAAAATATTTAAAGCAATATAAGAGAAATAATGAAAAAAAATATAGTAAGTCAAAGATAACTTTTTTCAAGTAATAAGATTTCTTCTGATTTAAAAAAAAATCTAAAAAATATAGATCCCAATCATTATATATTTAGTGTTATACGAAATGCTACTTAATAAAATCCAAAACTATTAGCAACAATTACCAAACACAGATCTGCAAGGAGTATAAATATTGTTTACTTCATAAAGATTTGAATGAATTTTAATTAAATTTAATTTATATTGTAATACTTAGTTTGCATTTTTATTATAATATATATATATTTTATTTTTAAATATTTATAATTAATTTGTTTGGATTTTTAGAATCAAGTAATTTCTCAAAATATTTAAAAAAATTTCTTATTTCATAATTTTTCAAAGTTAATTTATCAATCATAATTGATTGACCTGGATTAGTAAAACAGGATAAGGCAGCAATTGAGAAATCTTAAAATTAATAATTTTTGTATTATTTCTACAATTAAATCAAAATTTTAAATACACGTTTCAAGTTTTAATTTCAATTATTATAATTATGATGATGAAAAATAATTACTCATTAAAAATTATATTTAAATTAATCAATAGCAGTTCTATGGTGGACAGATCTGAGTAATTTTTTTGTATTAATAATTGAGAAAAACTACCATTCTAACTTTTAATTTTAAACATTTTTTCGTCTGATATAAAGGTTATTTATATTATTTTGGAGTTAATCAATTTGTCAACTTTTTTAGGTTTTGAGAATTAAATATCTTTGTAATAAATATAAATAATTTCTAGAAGAATATTATTTAAATTATAATTGGCTTATTTAGTTAATCTTTAAATTTTAACTTTAAATTAAGATGGCCTAAAATATACTTAAAAAAGTAACAATATAAAAATACACTACTGTAAGTCAAAGAAGAAAATTGGAATTTTTATATTGTAGAAAAAAGCGTATTCTAATTTCCCTATTTGAAATGATTTGATTAAAAAGTAATTTTTTTATTCATATTTTCAATGAGAGAATTTAAAGTCAATAGATTTTAGCCAAATTAATCAACATATTTCCAGATTTTTCGGTCAGTAAATAAAATCAAAAAGGCCATCTTATATATTTTTATAATTTTTTATCGGAGTCTAATTTTAACTTTAAAGTAAATTTATTATTATAAATATAGATGATAGTCTTATTTTATCATGTATCAAAGAATTGAATTATTTTATTCAGATTTAATTTTTCCTATTTGGATTAATATTGCATATTTAAGTTTCATTACAACACCTAAATTAGCTTTGAAAAAAATTTCAAACAAAACTATGAAATTGGATAAATATTTTGAATTGTAAAATTTGTGGTAATAAAATAGCTTATTGATAATTATAATAATAGGTCTTTAATAATAATTTAAAAATTAATATATGATGAATTATAAAAGTAGGAAGAGTGATATTCCAATAAATCTTATGAGAGTTTATTTTTGCACTTCTTTTTGTAATGTAAATGAACAGATTCGAGGAATTAATTGATAAACTTAGAAAAATTAAATTATTCAATTGTTTGAAATAAAGTTGCAAAATAGCACAGTTTGATAGTGCATTAATACTTTCTAAGAATTGCCAAGAGCTAACTTCAAGTCTTATGGTGAAAATTATTGCTTCTAATATAAACATTATAAAATTTTATTTTGGATTTGATCAAATTTAAAAAAAATTTTTATTTGTAAGTAGTATGGTCTTTTCCCTAAGGTAAGAGAAATTTTAGTAACTATTTGTAGATAAATTTGAAGTGATACTACTCTGAAAAATCAAGAAATATGTTTAGATATCGAAATCCGAACGTTTGTAAAAATGAATGGGTTGAAATAAAATGATTACGCAATATTAGGCTTTTTATTTGAATTTTTTTACATTATAGAATCATTTAATGTTTTTTCATTTTATCTCTGGCACTTAATTGATAATTCTTATTCATTAAGTTGTAGCAAATTGGAGGCTTATTGATTAAAGTTTTTTAGAGATCCAAATTGCAAACAATAATTGGAAATTAGGAGAGAGATGTTCTGATAATGATAATTATTCAATTTCATACTCTACTTGTAGTGTGAATTAACTACAATATATAAAGTTAAACTAAAATCGACAATATTTATACAAATTATTTCGTTTTAAGATTTTCCAGGCTAGATTAATATTTGATGTCTTTTATGATGATGCTGATAATTCTCAAGATTCAGACTTAGAAGTTAGTTATTATAGCAATTAAGTTTCTGATAATGATATAAAATTGTATTAACGACGTTATAAGAAATCTGATTTGAATTAGAACAGTGCTCGAATTTGTCATAGTAGTTGGGGTGATTTTGAATCCAAAACTATTGTAAGTACTGTTGTTAGTTCTAATACGAACAAATTTACAATAAAATTTTGTTTTAATCCAGAAAATGAAGATATGGTGGTAGGGATTAAAAATGTATTAATTTACGTAAATACTTGTCATCCAACTTGTTTAACTTGTAACGGTCCTACAGAGACTGACTGTTTATCATGTTTTGATATTTAAAGTGTATAAGGAGGGAAATGTATTTGCATACCGGATCAATAATTTTCTGAAACATATATAGGATGTCTGTAAGAATGTAGTAGAGAAAATTCAATTGCGCGTTTTGATAAAATATGTGTGAATGATACTAGAATAAAGGCAAATTTTACTCTATTCTAAGATGCACAAATCCCTCTATCAAATCAAAGATATTTTCCTTTGATTTATCAATAAGATGATTTTAATCAAAAAAACTCAGATTTAGTATATGAGAATTGTAATGGAATTGATTTTATTGGAAAATTTTAATTTAATGAAGGAATGATATACTAAATGAGTTTTGAAAATGCTGTTAAATTTATTAGAATTAGGATTACATTTTATATGTTTAATTTCTATGAGACAAGCAATATTGAAATCTTACACAATAATCAAATTCAATCTAAAATAATAAAATATTCATCTGATTTCTAGGTTGAAAATTCATTGAAAATATTTGAGAAGAATCAAATCTGTAATGATAATAGTTACACATTGTTAAGGGTAGAGACGACTTTTTAATTATTTAATCCTAATCCAATTATTTTAATTAAAGGATAAACTCAATATATAAATGAATCTTGGGGATTTAGAAATGTTACTGTGGACACTGGTTTTTGTTAAGAAAATTGTTTAATATGTTCTGATTTTTATACTTGCACATAGTGTTCTACAACATATTAATTATATAAAAATAAATGTGTTCTGACTTGTCCTATTCATTCATCAAATTGTATTGATTATGAAGATATTGTTCCATGTAAATTATTATTAGATTATTTTTAGATTCTAGATACATTGCCAAAGGATTTTATGATTTAAATATGACACTTGATGAGATTCAATCATTTTATGATACTACAACAGATCCATCTTCTATTTAATCATCAAGTTAAAAATTTTCTTTTTTGAATAATAAAATAGTTTTAGGAGGTTTATTAGTATGGAATGATGGGTCCTATATCAAAACATGGTCTATCTCAAAACCTCATTATGCAGCCTCAATTTATTTTAATTTAACTTATGGAGATGGTTATACTGGATCATTTTCATATAAGATAGGTGCTTCTTCAAGTAGTTAATGGTCAGCACTTTTTAGTAAACTAGTAGGAGGATAAAATTTGGTTGGTCGTACTGATCTTGAAAGCACTCGTTACTTTAATATAAGTTTAACAAACTTTTAATCCAATAATCTTTATGTTGAATTTAAATGTGATGTTGCAACTGCAAATATAACAAAGGAATTTTGTGCAATATCTGAATACTTCATTGTTATTCATTATGTATATTATTTATTATTATTGTAAAGTGTCCTCCTTTTTGCTCTAGCTGTACAAGTTTGTCCACATGTTTAGATTCGGGATATACTGGCCAAAATTGTGATAATAATTAATATTTAGACTTTAATCCATTAACTGAAACTTATAGTTGTATAGATTGTAATTAATCTGGATGCTATTCATGTACAAGTTAAGAAGAATGCACTTAATGTGTTAGTAATTAGTTTTATTTGACAAATGGACTTTGTTTGTGTAATCCATTTACATATTTATAAGGAAATAATTGTTTTTAATGCAATAAATATTGTGAAAATTGTTATGGTAATTCATAATTTAATTGTCTTACTTGTGTAAGAGATTATAATAGAAGTATTCAAAAACATTAATGTTAATGTTTACCTGGATATTATGATGATGGAATAAATTTACCATGTCTTCCTATTTGTGGAGACTTATTAAGAGTAGAAGGAGAAGATTGTGATGATGGAAATAATAATCCATTTGACGGTTGCCATAATTGTAAATTTAGTTGTAATTTTGCTTGCGATATTTGTTTAAATGGAAAGTGTTATCAATGTAAAAGTGGATATGAAGTTTATAATAATGATTGCCGCTCTAATTGCTTAGGAAATACAATTACATTACTCTAATAATGTAATGAGGATTAAAAAAACTGCTTTAATTGTCAATAAAAATGCCCTCTTAATTGTATAGATTGCCTTTTTGGAAGTTGTATTTAATGTGATGAAGATCGAGGATGGTACATTTAAATAGATGGAACATGCAATTCTATTTGTGGAGATGGAATTGTATCACATGATGAATAATGTGATAATGGTAATTTATTATCTGATTTTTAATGTGTCAATTGTAAATTATAATGTTAAGAAGAATGTACAACATGCGTTAATGGAGAATGTTATCAATGCATTTAAGCAGGATGGCAATTAAATGATCTTGATAGGAACTGTTAACCTATTTGTGGTGATTTATTAGTATTAGGAAATGAATAATGTGATGATGGAAACTACTTAGATAATGATGGATGTGATAACTGCAAATTTCAACTTTAAGAGTAATGTAGTCTTTATGATAATGGTTAATGCAGAGTATGTAATGTTGAAGGATGGGAACTTACTATTTATAGATGCTCTACAATATGTGGAGATTAATTAATATTAGGTACAGAAGAATGTGATGATGGGAATCTTATTCCTTATGATGGATGTTATGAATGCAAATTTTCATGTGAAGAATAATGTACTTTATGTGAAAATGGAGTTTGTTAAGCTTGTCTCAAGCCAGGATGGATTATTAATCAACAGAACGTATGTACTATTTAATGTGGAGATGGAATAGTTATTGATCCATACGAATAGTGTGATGATGGAAATGATATTCCGTATGATGGTTGTTATTAGTGTGAATTTTAATGTTCTTAAGGTTGTATTGAATGTCAATAAGAATAATGTAAGAAATGTGATTATTTATATCATTTGGATATTTAAACAGCCTAATGTCTAAAGAAAAATATCCTAGATGATTATAATAATGATTAATTTGTTAAGATGTAGCTTATATAATAAACAAATCTAAGATGTGGAGAAAATCAAATGTTAATCGATCATGTATGTAATAATTAATGTGGAAATGGAATAATAATGAATTAAGGAATGTGATGATGAAAATAATTATGGAGGAGATGGATGTTCTAATTTATGTCATATAGAAGATTCATTTCAATGTATGAATTAATAGGACTCATTAAGTTTATGCACATATATTTTAGCTCCTGAATTTAATTTGAATATTCAATCTGATAAAACTTAATAAACATAAATTGTTGAGTTAACATTCACTTAATAAGTAAAATTGAAAGAAGCTCTAAATTTAGAAGAAATCATGGTATTTAATATAATTCCAGCTACTCGATATCATTTAACTACAAGCTTTATTACAAATTTAACAATATCCTTAAACAATCCCAAATATATAATTTATATTGAATTTTTTGAACCTATATATGACCCAATTTTACAAGTTGACATACAAAAAAATACTATAATCAATCAATATGAATTAAACTTATAGAATAATAATAAAACTGTTAATCTTGGCACTCCTTTTGTTCTCTCAGAAACTACTAAATTATAATTAACATCTATCGTATAATTAAATGATGTCATGATGTATTCTATGGCTGGAGTATCAAGTTTGGCTTTGGTAACAGGAAATGCAATTATGTTTTTTAATTTATTAGAGCTATTGTAGTCATTATCTTATGTGAGATATATGCAATGCTCATTTCCACCACATTTGAATTACTTTTTAAACACTTACACTAAAATCTCAATGCAACCCATTTTTGATTATTTATAAATAGATTAACTATTACATAAATTAAATGGAGAAAATACATCAAATTAAGAAACCAATAAGTTACAAGAAGACAAGAACATAATTTTCAATTAATCATATTTGCTCAATGCCAAAAGTTGTTATTTTTCCATTTTTTCATCTGCATTAACTTACATTATTTATTGCGAATTAACATCTGAAAGCTTATAAAATTTAATTAATAAACTCTTTTAAAAATTCAAATAAAATATTAAAATCTTAAAATTACTATCAATATTTTAACGAAAGATACAAAAAAAGTGTATAATACAAAAAAGAGAATACTTTTCTAATGGAATATTTAAAGTTTATTTTGCTATTCTCCATTAATTTATGTTTAGCTCAATTTTATAGTTTCCAAACTACCAATTTGATTCATTATTTTCAATTTTTAACAGTATTAATTCTATTTTTGGATTAATGTTGATTTTAATATCTAATTTATCGTTACTTTAAATTACTACAGCTAAAATAAAAGATATATGCAAGTGGAAATATTTTTATATTGAGACTAATACTGGATTTTGGGCAGCTTAATTTAAAGCATTTTAAATTTACAGAATCTTGTGTTATATATTTATTATCGTAAAATTAAGAGACTATCCTGAAGCCCAATCAATCCTGCTTTCAATCCAATCATTGTTGTTCTTAATATACATGATCAAGTTTAAGCCATTGAAATCATTATTTGAACTTTCCAAGCTCATATGTAGAGAATTTTTATTAACGATTATTTCAGGAACATTTTTAGCATATAGTTTTGAATTGAGTTAAGATAATTTTATCCTGATTGGTTGGATTCACATTAGCATGTTTTCTACTATTATGGCTTCTAATTTGTTTATAGATTTGTTTTCATAATTCAAGAGAATATATGATAATTATAAATAAAAGAAAATTAAGCAGAAAATTTAAGAGGAAAGAGAATATCAATTCAAACATTTATAGGGGTTTTCAATTAATAAGAATGATTATTAATAGAACGAGTAGTTTCTGTAAAAGCAATGATTTATGAAATTTAATTTAATTTAAAAAATTTTTAAAGCTTTTTATTTACTCCTTTTTCTTTAAAGTCTCATATAATTTATGAGATTTAATTAAAGTTGGTAAACAAAGGGTTGATGGATATTCTATTCTAAAATATGAAATAACTCTTTATCTAAGAATAGCGTATTGAAAAATAAATCACAGTTTAATCTAATAGAATTTTATAATAGTGAATAAATTTAATCAACAATCGAAAATAAGGATTGTTTTCATCCTAATATTTTAAAATTTGTAATGGGAATCATTAAAGCTAGGCTTTAATTTTTATATTAATGCTTAAATATTTTTATAAATAAGATATGATTACCAAATATTTAAGTATAAGTGTTGGAGCTATTTCCATTAAATTTCCATTTTATTTAATATCAATTCAATCTCTTTTAGAACTTATTTGTTTAAGATACTTTTATTATTGGAATTTACCAAGAAAATATTAGTAATGAACTTTAAATTGTATCAGCATTCATATTTTGATATTTCAATCTTAATAATAATAATGATTTTAGTATGCATTAAATAAAATTAATCTAACTCAATTAATTAAATATAATTCGATTTTATCAGATCCAAAGTTAATAGAATTAGAAAATTAAATGAAGGATGTATATTTTTTTATTATTTTAAATAAAGAAACATGATTGAGATATATTACTTAAACAAATAATTTAACATAGAAGCTATAAAAAATAACTTTTAAAGTTATTTTGATGAAAATTGTGAATCTCAATAATTTTGCAAACATTTACGTCATTTTTCAAGAAATTTTTAATTAAATCAAGAACAATTAAATCACATCCTTTTAAAATTATCTGAAAATGTATTACTATTAGAAAACAAAATCATTTTGAGTTAAGTGGTAAAATATAGTCTAAGAAATGGCCAATATATAAGAGTCTCTAGTTTAAATGATATATTGAATTTAAACGATAATAAAAACTTGTAAGCTGAAATTCTCCAGGGATTAGCCTATCAGATAGAATTATAATAATATTAAAAAATGGAAAGCTCAGAAAAAGAATAAATTAAAAAAATAGTTGAAAAGAAAGAATTTGATGAAGGAAAGAAATTCTTAATTAAACAATTAATTAAAATTCCTGAAAAAAAACCAAAAAAATTTGATGTTTTATCTGAAATAAATCATTCTGAGGATTTGTAATTTAAATTAAAACTTGCAAGAACTAGAGAAACTTAATTATAATCATAAACTCACGTCATATCCTAAAGACAATCAATAAAAGGCGTACAAAAATTTTCTATTAGAGCAATAACCTTCAATTAAACTTTTAGTTAGATGTAAAGTCTTGAGAAATTACCAGAACTAATCCAAAATGTTGGAGGTTGTGATAAATCATGGTTTGATAGTCAATACCAATCTATTTAAATATTATATAAAAAAGTAGTATCAAATTAAGACTTATTAAAAGATCAAGATTAAAAGTTTTTAATAGAAGTTCTTAGAAATAAATCAAAGAATTATCAAAATGATCTTTAAATATTAATTGGTAGTAGAATAATTATATAAATCTTCTTACATTTATCAAAAAGAACAAATTAAAATAGATAAAAAATATTTACGGATGCATACGAATAGATAATTTAATTTTGCTCAAACCAAAAGAATGTAATCAATTTACTCTATAATAAACAAGAAGAAAAAATTTATTAATCCATTTAAAAAAATAGAGTTGAAAAAGACAAACCTAACGATATTGAAAAGGAAGCATTAGTTTAATCTAGAGTAGATCAGCCTTAAGAATTTTTAAAAAAATAAATAGATAAATTAAGATGTGAAGCCATTTAAACAATTATTAACCTAATTTAAATTTAAAAGGCTGAAATAAATAGTAATAATTTGTTGGTAAAACTAATAGAAAATATAAAAGATTAAAGTGATGAATTTAAGACTTATTCATTTCAACTATATACATTATTAGAATCCAGGTTTTAATATTTTGATGTTTTTAGGAATTGCTTCCCTAATTTAGTCAACTAAAATAAAATAATTGAAGGATATTGTTTTGAAACTTTAAGAGAATATGCAAAAGACAAATAAAAATGTATAGTACTTTTTAAAGAGAATGAAATAAGAGAGCTTTGCTCATATATAATAAAATAAGAATAAGGAAAATTAAATAAATGTTAATTATTATAAATTTGTTTAGAAAATAATAGTATAATAGGTTTAGATGAAACTAATATCAATTAGCTAATTGATGAAATATTCAAATCTAAAGAATATAGTATTAAACTTTAAATCATTAAAATTATATTATATATATCTAAATTAAATCCAAATATCATATCTAAAAATTCAGCAAATAAATTAGCAACAAGAATAAATGAATTTGATGGATAAGATAAAACTTTTAGATATATCATAATTATTTTAGGGATTATTTCATAAATTTAGAAAATTGAATCATTTGATACTTTGTCTTAGCATTTATTGAACGATGATAAATTAGAGGATGATTATATCTAAATTTAATTTGAAAATTCATTAATAGATATAATAACTGTATAATTTATAGTTTGCTAAATAATGCTAACTTGTTAATCTATAGTGTCAAAATTAGTCATCTAAAACCTATTGATTGCTTTAGAAAATGAATAAACAACTGATAATATAAGATTATTATTAGCAAGAATCATGTTGAATGTTGATAATTTATATCTTGATTAGGAAAAGCTAAAAGAAAAAATTTTTGTTTTCATTTAAGATCATTCTCCGGAATTAGCTTATTATTTGTCGATTGTTTATACTAATTAGTTAACGAAGATCTAGAAAGACGAAATTATAGCAGATTTTGAAATGCTATCAAAATGTTAAGTAATCAGTAATTAATAAACTATTTAAGATTAAACATGTCAAATCACATTAAATAACTTTGATATACTTCAAAATTAAATCAATATTTTATAGGAAATCAACTCAGGACAAGCAAATGTTATCAAATTTTTTTTATAAAGAAATGATAATAATTTAGAGATAAAAGTCATAAATTCTTTATTGGAATTTTCAAAGAAAAATATTTTAATACCTAAATCAATAATTGAAACAATAGGAGATCTTTCAAATAATTAAGAAATATGGATTAACTTAATCAAATAAATCATTGATAATGGTTAAAGTGTAACTTAGATTATTTTAGAAAAATTTGTAAATTTTTTATACTTTAAGGAAGAATTTTCAAATTCTGCATTTTAAATTCTAGATCAGGCCAATTTGAATTAAGATTTGCCAGATGAAATATTCATTCCATTAGAAATCGAAAGAGCAGCTTATTCAATATAAAATGAACCTTTTGTAAAAGAAAATGCTATAAAATATTTACTAATTGAAGTATAAAAAGGAAATAAGTTAACTAAAAATACATTTAAATCATTAAAAACAGAATTAGAGAATGAATCAGTTCTTGATATTTTAATATAAATATCTAAAACTAACTAAATTATTCCAAATTATCTAGTAGAGAAAATGATTTAAATGTTCAATCCTAATTTAGCGTAAATTAAACTTATTAATATTTTTAAATATATATCTAAGAATAATTAAGAAATTATTCCAGAAATAATTGGTAAATTAGAAAAAGCTTTAGATAATAATGAGGTTAAAGATGAAGCCTTTTTATTTTTTGCTTCTTATGGATAAAGAAACTAATAATTATCTAGGAATATTATAAAGAAGATTTATGATAGATTATAAAGCAGCCCAACTTAAGAATTGAAATTTGAATTATTAAATACGCTTGTCTTTTAAATTGATAAAATTTAATAAGATCCTATAGCTATTGATATGATTCGAAGTGAGATAATTTAATGTTTACAAAAGGAAGATTTAAACTTATTATTAATAGAAGGTTTAATTAAGATTAAGTAGAAAGGTTTTATGAATGAATAATTAATTGATTTATTAATAATAAAAATGTAAACTTAAACATATTCCTAAGAACTTATGTTAAAGATGTAAAATATAATACCTTAGAATATTAATTTATTAAATGAGAAATAAAAAGATACTCTCAATTTACTCAAAATAAATTAGTTAAATTCAAAAGATTTTTTTAAAAAGATTTAAGCTTTGAAAAATAAAAGTCTATTGCCACAAAATTTTGAAAAATTAAAAGAATTGTTGTAAGAAAATCCAGATAATATTACTAACATCATTTCAATCTTGGGTGAAAATCAAAAAGATATTCCGCAAGATCTTTTAGAAATGATTATTTTTTAGTCTAATACTTTAGATGAAATTCTATATGAAGACTTTAAATCTTTCATTTAAAATGTAATTTAAAACTAAATTAAATTTACTGATAATGCATTATAATCCTTGTCTAATTCTAGAGACCAAGAATTTTCGCGAAAGGCGATATTAAATATATTGTAATATTAACCCTGCTCTGATTTTAGTAAGAAGTTTTATAAAGTTATTAAATAACTAGGAGTTAATGAATTGGAAGAGTAGATCTAAAATGATTTAAATTTAAATCAAAAGATTATTATTAAATACTCTAACTTCATACTATAAAATAAATATAAAAATTTAGAACTCACTGTTAAAAGTTTATTTAACAAAAGAAATTAAATAAACTCAAATATTAATGATAATTCAATCTTGAAGTGCTTATCATTCATTTATTAATCCAAAAATATAATTTTAAATTAAGAGATATTAGCTTACTTTTATGAAAATATGCTAAATTAAAATAACGATTCAATAACTCGAAGTTTGTCTTTCAGGGGATTATAATCTGCTATACAAATAGAATTCGATTGCAATTAATTTAAAGATTGTTAGGTTTATTTATAAAATAATGATGTATCAAATTAAACTTTAGTTGAATTTTTAACATATTGCACTAGCAGAGTAAAAACTATGGAAGAATAATTAAAAATAAAATTAGAATTAGATTTTCATCAAATTGAAATTTTACTTTTAATCCCAAAATTAGATACAAAAATAAATATGAATAATTTTGAAAATTTTACAATTGAATTACTTCAGCTAAATTTATTTGACAAATTCTCATCAACTAAAAAGGAAGAATAGATTTTTTATAATATTTTAAACAATTTAGATTAAAAGTTATAGAATTAATTGAAACAAATTTTGTAACTTTTATTATATTAAGAAAAATTTGTTAAATTTTAGTAGATATTGGATCTATTAAAATTCATAAAGGATTTGGAAGAGTAGGTTATATTTTAGATTTTTTATTTAAAAAAAAATCCATATTCTAAATTTAAATATAAATGGGTAGAAAAACAACTACAAATCAAATATGGATAAAATATTTTAACAAAGACTCTAAAAAATATTGCTAAATTACCTGTCTGCTAAATTGAGTATTTTATAAAAAATGAGGGTAGCTGGAATGATTTCAATAGATTAATTTAATTTATTGAAAACTATAATCTTTTTGATTATAATCTCTTTTTATAAGATTAGAATACTACTCATTAGAAAATATTAAGATAATATGAAAAATACGTATTGATACAATACATAAAACAAATTAATTAAATATAAAAAATAAATAGAATTATGACAATTTTGATTGAGTAATTTGGTTGGAAATTTGAGGATTTGGAAAAAATATTTAATACTGGATTGAAAGTAAATGATATGGATTAAGATAATAAATAAGAAAGTTTCATATCAGTGCTTTAAATATTATAAAATTTTAACATTACTCCAAATGATCATTTATAGTATTAAGATATCTTTTCTTAGCCTATTAATTCTTGGTAAACTCAAGCTTATAAATGCTGTTTGCAAAAAAGATTTCCATAATCAACCAACCAAATGAAGGATTTATAATAATTGTTAGAGGAATTTTTCGATAAAGAAGATAAAAAAACTTAAGATAATTTACTAGAAACCATATAAAAAATCAAATAATCTTCATTTAAAAGTTAAATTCTTCCGAAATATGAAAATATTAATAATTGGAAAATTGAATAAATCTAGGAATGGGCAAAAAAAGTAAGAATGAATAAACAATATTTTTAAAATTATTAAGTTATTTTAATTGAAGCAATAGCAGTTATAAAAATTGCTATAACTAGGTAATTTTCATTTGAACTAGCTAATAATTAATTAATGAGTGCATTTTTGGCATTATTTGAATAAAAAGGAACACTTTTATAAGTTAGTACTGGAGAAGGAAAATCAATAATTATATGTATGATTGCAATTATTAAGGCTTTAGAAGGGAAAAAAGTAGATATTATAACATCATCACCAGTTTTAGCTTAAAGAGATGTGATAGAAAATGAAAAATTATATTAAATTTTTTAGCTCACTTGTAGTAGCAACATTGACCATTCATTTTAAAATACAGGTTAAAAAAAATGCTATGATTGTGATATAGTTTATGGTGATGTTTCCTAATTTTAATTTGATTATTTAAGAGATAACTATCTTAAGATGTAAACTCTTAGAGGAAGATCTTAAGATTTTGTGATTGTTGATGAAGTTGATAGCATGCTTATTGATGAGAGCTCAAAGATTGCAAGATTATCTTCTCAAATATCTGGACTAGATTTATTTAAACCTATTTATATTAAGTTATGGCAATTATTTTAAATATACTAAAGATAGATAATAAAAATTGCGGGTGATTATTATTTTTTTCTTGGAACTATAGGTTATTAAGGAGACTTGATTACTTTAGATTATATTGGAGAAGATAATATTGAACATCATATACCAGATTTAAAATAATATATAGATTAGAAATAAGATTTAACGAATATAGGAAGACTTATAAATGAAGATGTCTCAAACTTTATTAGACAATCACTTAAATAAGAAATTGAAGTGTATATTTGTGAATTAAAAATACCTTAGTATCTATAATCTATTATTTAAATTTAACTACCTAAATGGATTAATAATTTATTTATTGCTATTGAATACTAAGAGAAAATCTAATATGTTGTATATAAAGGTATGATCAAACCTGTTGATTATCTCTCAACAGGATTGATTTTAGATTCAACCAACTGGTAGGATGGATTACATCAATTTTTATAAATTAAACATGGTTTAAGATTAACCTCCGAATCCTTTACTACCAATTTCTTATCCAATATAGGTTATTTTAAAAAATATGGTAGTAATATTATTGGTTTATCTGGAACCATTGGATCTGACCATGCTCAAACTGTTTTAAAGAATACATATAAAGTTTGTATTAAGAAAATTCCAGATATGACGAAAAAGAAATTTGTTGAATATCCAACTGCAATTCTAAATAATGAATATGAATAAATTTAAAATATTTGTAATTCTGCAATAGATGAAACTAAAAATGGTAGAGCAGTGTTAATAATTAGTGAAACTATTAATTTCACTGAAAAAATTTATTAAAATTTATTAAAAATTTATGAATCTAGATTATTAAAACTGTATCACATGAATAATATGAACTTAGAATAAAAAATTTAAAATATTTCTAAAGGAGAAATAATTGTGGCCACTAATTTAGCAGGAAGAGGAACAGATATTAAGGCAGATTCAATTTAAAATGAAGGAGGTATACATGTAATTTTAACATTTTTGCCATAAAATTAACGTGTTGAAGAATAAGCATTTGGTAGAACATCAAGAAAAGGATAAAAAGGAACAGGTTAAATGATATTGAATAAAATGAATATACCTTTTAAGAACAACTCTAATACAAAATTACTAAAAAAACTAAGAGATGAAAGGGAGTCAGAAATTCTTGATAAATTTATCTAATCTTAAATGAAAATTATCGAAATTAAAGATGAGTTATTTATGATATTCAATAAAGATTTTAATGATTATAGGTAAAAATTAAAAAAATAAAAAAATTCACATACTTTCATTTAAAACTCATTATTAGATATTGAGGAAGAATGGGCCACTCTACTAAATTAAATTGATAATCATTAAATAAACAAAGATTTTGCTATGTAAGAATATTAAAATTTTTAAGAAAGCATTCTTTCTCGTTTTTCAAGCTCAACTTTTGAGATTAAAAACCCATTTAATTATATTTCTATTGGAAATGAATAATTAATAAAATGTAAAAATTTCGCCCTTATAAACAAAAAATGTGGCTCTGAAGCAAAAAAATATTTTGAATTAGCAATTTAACTAGAATAGGAAAATTGCCAAGCCGCTTATTTTGGTTTAGGTTTCTTAGAAATTTGGAACAATAAATTGAAGGCAAAATAATATTTTAGAAAAGCCAAAGAGCTAAGTTAGAGAGAAATAAAAATGTTACAATAACTCACTGACTATTTTATTGTTTTAAATCTTGATACCAATAATGATTTATTTAAACAGCTATTTTAGTAAATCAACATTCTTGGAACGTTTTGTTAAAATTTAAAAAATAATATTAAATAAATTGAAAAATCTGAGAGGTTGATTCATATTACCAAGATATAAAAAAATTATTCAAGTCATGTACTTTATCAAAAGACTTTTTATAATAAAATGAAAATTGAGAATGCTGAAGAGAAATTGAAATAAGATAAAAACAATGAATATGAATTAATGTTTAGAAATTTGACTGAAAGTTTTGATTTATTTTCTACAGACTAAACAATTGAAATTATAAAAAAGTACAAGAATGATCTTGATAATTAGCAAGAATAAGATTTTTTGATAGAATCACAAAAAGTTTCATTAATTAAGATATAATCTTTTTCTAAGTAATTGGATATGACACCTTATAAAATAAATCTATAATTTAAAAATTTGAATTATTTACAATTCCTTACTATATCTTCATCAATTACAGCCAGAACCATTGATATAACTACTAAAATTAAATTTTCAGAAATAATAATTCCTTTAAGGAGTCATTCATTCATTGATTAAATAGAAGTTAGTTATTAAGAAGATGGTGCTTTGATAACTGTAGGTATATTTAAAGATAGTATGAAATAATTTATGGATTAAAATTCTCTATAAACTATTTCAATTAGAAAACTTGATTTAGAAAATGCTAAATCATTTATAGCTTAGTTACCGAACAGTTTATTGTTTAATTTTAAATTTAATGATGTTATTTTAGAGGGCACCGAAATAGTAAAGGATTTCAATATTAAGGTTGAATTTATCGAATTAAATTATAATAATTCGATATCTTTAATTAAATTCCTCAGATCTTAAAAAATTGAATTAAATTTAAAATTAAAAAGATTAAACTAAGCTTAATTTATGAGCTTATTAAACAAAATAAAATTAAACTAAAACTAAATGGAAATAAAAGAAACTAAATTTTTCAATTAATTTTATTTATATAATGATATTCCTATTTAAGAGTTAAATGAATTAGAAATGAGAGGCCTATTTTTCATCATTTAATTAAATGAATAATCCCCTATAAAATGGAAATCTATTACTTTAAGTTTGGGAATTTGTTTTGTTAGTATGGGTTTTGGTAGTGCTTTAGCTTATATAGGAGAAGCTTAAACTGGTTGGGCATTATTTAAATTTGGATTTGAATAATTTAACAACATTACCATGCCTTTATTACTAAATTAAAATAGAAAAAAATTTTTAAATTTATTTTGTGATAGGCACTAAATAGTCAATTAATAAAATTATGGTAAAACAATTTAGAATTATGAACTTTTGAGTTAATATGATTTCAATTAACTGAAACCTTTCATATCTGAAAATATCATTAATAAATTTACTAAGAAACTCTAGGATAAATCAATTTGTGAACTTAGTTTATTTCATATTATTAGGCAAGTAAATGCTTACGAAAGAATAATCGTTAACAATTAAATAATTTCAAGCATTTTTAAATAATTATCTCAAGAAGTTGATACAAATGACTAAAAATTTTTGGAAAATTGGGAATCTATTACCAATTCTTTAACAAATATGTTATTGTAAAAATTTGATGATGCAATTAATTATAAAAGTTTAACTTTGATTATTTAAAGTGAAGTAAATAAAAATGAAAAAATATAAGGATTAATTGAAAAAATTATTGAAACATTAACACTAAAATTAGGAAGATATATGTCGAAATGTTTAGGGTTTCAATAAATTATTTAATCCCTAGGTTTTGATAGTTAAACTGCCTTAATAATGTATAAAACTTTTTTAAATTTAAATGTAGTCAAATTATATTAGATTAACAAATAAATAAATATTGAGGTAATTGATCCATAAATCTTGATTGATGAGGTCAATTCTAATATTAAATTGAATCTATCTAAAGAATTAAATTATTGTTAAGATAAATTAATAAAATTGCTTAATAAAATTAATGAGTATCTTTCGGAATTTAATATCTTATTATTTGAATCAAAAATAAAAGAGATTGCATATACTATGACTGAAAAAATAATAATAATATTGGAAACATTGGATATTAAACCAAATTAATAGTATTTAAAAGAATTATCAGAGAAACAAAATGATTTCAATTTTCAGATTAATTTTGGCTCGGCTGAAGACGAAAATGATCTCATTGGATATAATGTTTGAATAATTTTAGGATTTACAAAAAAACAATATAATTTTCATATAAATTTTAAATTAAAGATCTTTTAATAATAAATATTATTTATATTATTAATAGATACTTCTCACATTTATTTGTTTAATACCCATTTACCATTATATTTTTGACCATAGCTGATTTATATTCTCCATATTCTTGTCTATCATCATCTTTCCAATCTCCACATATAAACACCCTTCAGCATATTTCATGCTACCCTTTCCAGTTCTTTTATCATCTTTAAAATCACCATCATATACAGCTCCACAAGAACATGTGAATCTACCTTTTTCATGCTTTAGATCACTTAAAAATCTCCTTCGATACGTTTTCACAACCCCACTTATATATCCCCTTTCCATGCCTATTACTATCCTTCCATTCTGCTTCATATACATTTCCATCAGCCGATTTCATACTACCCTTTCCAATTCTTTTATCATCTTTTTTCCAATCCATCATATTCAGCTCCATCAGCCCATTTAAATTTCCCCTTTCTATCCTAATTACCATCCTTTCATATACATCTCAAAAGAATATATGAAACACAAAAGCAAGTACAACAATAGATCATGTAACTCATTAACTTTTAATAAATTAAATAGAGTAATAAGATCTAATTTATTAAGCAGAATGTAAATAATAATTATTTTAACAAAATCCTCTATTTACCTTAATACCAAAAAGAATTATTTATAGAAACAATTACAATATAAATAAACCAAATTCTTTTTAAGCCCATAGTTTTTTTGATTAATATCTATATTTTTAGATAATTTTAAATTCAATATATTATTTATATATGAATAAAGAATAAGATGATTAAGTTATAAGAAAATTTATTATAAACAGCTCTAAAATTATTAAATGAATTACATAGTGAAATTTTAAGAATATTAATTTAATTAGAGTAAATAATAATTTTGAATATCATAGTAAATCAGATTCAATTTGTGAAAAAGACGAATATTCGAATAGAAAATAATTTCAATCAATTGCTGCTACAAAATATTATGATTAATTTGATGATTTAGATTTAAAAATGAATACAATGTCTAAAATGTTCAATTAATATATAATCAGTCCAGAAGAAGCCTAAGCCAGACTAAAAAATAATATCTTAAGAAGCTTTAAAGAAAAACATTAAGTACATAAGAAAAAAGTTTTAAAATTATAAGTACTACATAAGAGAATAAATAGTAAGCAATGAGAACAATAGGATAATTCGAAGGAATTAATTAATTGATTAATGGCGTACTTTTTCATAGAAATAAGGGTTAAATGCTAATCGTAGGTTTAATACGAGAATTTTATTTAAATTGACATGAAATATTTATCTATTAAAAATTCTAAAGAAGTTAAATTATCGAGAATATATTATTAGAAATTTAAATTATGTAATTTAATGTTAACTTAATTGTATTCAAATCTGTTGTGATTTAAATATATATCTTTATAATTAACGTGAAGTATTTTAAAAATAATAGGATATTACAAATTTGAGAGATATGTTTAAAAGTATTTATTACTAAAATCTAATATTAGATATAGGAATATTATGAGTAATTTATATATCCTATGAAACTAGTAATTATTCTAAATATTATGGTATTATTATAA